GACCAGGACTGCCCACCCCTGCATTAGAACATAAATAAAACATAATAGAACATAAATAAAACATAAATAAAACATATTAGAACATAAATAAAACATAATAGAACATAAATAAAACATTAATAGAACATAAATAAAACATAAAACATAATAAAACATAAATAAAACACATTAGAACATAAATAAAACATAATAGAAGATAATAAAACGTAAATAAAACACATTAGAACTTAAATAAAACATAATAGAACATAAATAGAACATTAATAGAACATAAATAAAACATAAAACATAATAAAACATAAATAAAACACATTAGAACATAAATAAAACATAATAGAAGATAATAAAACGTAAATAAAACACATTAGAACTTAAATAAAACATAATAGAACATAATAGAAGATAATAAAACATAAATGAAACAAACTACATAAATGAAACATCAAAACAAGAAGAATAAATTCTAAATTGTAACTCAGAGGTTGAGGCAGAGTGAGAGGTGAGTGATTATGAATGCAGGACTGTACACATCTAACAAGACAAAATGTTGAATAAAAAGGGTGTGTGTGAAATTTAAGCCACATATACAATAATAAAAAACAAAACAGAAAAAAGGGGGAGGGGGTATGTTCAATAATACAAAGACCCATGGTTGGTGAGCAGACAAGTGGTTGGTTGTCATTTGTGCTGAATGAAAATTTACTGTCAGTATTACAAATAATAAAATTATTACATTCATTCTAAATGTCTTTGACTGTTCCAGGATAAATGACTGATTCTGGATGCTCTTTACTAAATTTACTGTAGGGCTCTATTGCTTTAATATATTTCTTCATGAACTGATTATACAGTTTGAAGGAAACGTCTTTTATTTTGGTATTTATTAAAAGTTTCTGATGAAATGTAAAGATAATTTAGTTGTTTCTACAGGTTGAGGAAAAGCAAGTCGGTTACACTCTCTTCCTCAGAAACATTGTTTTTATCACAAACACAATGTGATAGTGTTCAGGAGTTACAGCAGTGTTAAACTTCAGATTTAACTCATTATAACTGTTACTGCTGTTTCTTCTACGTTGTAATTAAAGAGGAGGAAACTGAGCCCCCCAGGTTTCAACAGATGTAATATGAGAAAGTATTCCCCATGCATTTATCCAGTTCACTTTAAGCTGCTGTTTAAAGTGGTGACATGTAGAAATTGTAAAACTTATTTTTCATTAGAGCACATTAACACTGATTTCTTGCAGTAATATTTAGGATTCTTCCTTGAGGAATGAAATATAACACGTGTTGTTTCTGTTTCAACCAGTAGATGGCGGCGGTGAGTCTGAATGACGTCATCAACATGCGACGTGATCACGCCACTGAGGGACGTCGTCGACCTCTAATCATTTGTTGGCTGTTTTTGTAACGTTTCTACGGTTAATTTGATAAGTTGTTTAGCTGTAAAGGTTTAAAGAAGAAGCTTTAATAAAAATGTTTCGGTTTTCCGTGTTAGTTTTGAACAGAGGAGCGGTTAAAAGGGTGAGTAGTTCACTGGCTGCAGGAAACATGGCAGCTGCTGTTTCTGCTCCTTCATGTCTGCCTTCAGATAACAACTGTTTATTACTTTTTATTTTATTACAACTCTTCAACAAGATCATGACTGCATCAGCTCTGTGTGAAGCTCTGACGTCACCAGTTTGGAAACATGTAGAAATACTTTTAGAGCCAGTAATGACAGAAAACACTGGGAAATATCCAGTATTGATCATTACAGACCAGTAAAGTGTAGTGTCTAAATGTTGGAATAATGTGAGCCATCACATCTAAATGAGGATCAAAATGACCTAATTACATTTTCAGATTCTTGTCTTTAAAAGCTACATTTTGATACCTGGATCATTCTGATATCATCATTAAATCCATATATATGACTTAATTTGTCTTGTTGGTTACAATAATACATAAATATTTGCTCTGAATCCTAATTTTATGTCTTTTTAATGTTGTCCTTATAAAGAGGAAACCTCAGATTATATTTGAATATTGAGATTTACCAGATAAAAAGAAACAAACTTTACTAACTCACAGGGAAAATCTCAACTTTTTAAGGTGTTTTTCCTCAAAATCAGGTTTTTTGTTGCTACTGCTCAAAAAGTGCTTCATAATTTAGTTTTATGATTAAATTTCAGACAGTAAATGATACATTAATAAGACTTTTATTCATTATATTTTGACAAAATGTAATTTTTGTTAACATTTTAGTCAAAACACTATATTTGCCTTTTTCTCTTTATAAAACTCTTAGATTTAATCCTCATTTTGATGTTTGACACGAAGCTGAAGTCAGCTTCAGATTCAGGAAATGACTAAAGGGATATTACAACTAATTTTTCATTCCCTTGCGCGTGTTTAACCTGGTCCAGTTCAAAACCACAACACCTACACTCTTCAAACCTGGACTAGATTATTCTACACTAATAGCAGAATATTTAAAAACACGTTTGGGATTTGGGAAACCTTTGTCTGATTTGTGAAAAATCAATAAAGTTTGTTTTTCATCATTTTTCAGACAACTGGACCACATTAGACCTGGTCCAGCCCAAAAACTACAACACCTGGACTCTTCAAACCTGGACTAGATTATTCTACACTAATAGAAGAATATTTAAAAACACGTTTGGGATTTGGGAAACCTTTGTCTGATTTGTGAAAAACCAATAAAGTTTGTTTTTCATCGTTTTTATGCAACTGGACCACATTAGATCTGGGCCAGCTCCAAAACCACAACACCTGGACTCTTCAAACCAGGACTAGATTATTCTACACTAATAGAAGAATAATAAAAACTAAGTTTGAGCTTTGGGAAACCTGTGACTGTCATGCTCTGTCATCTCTGCACTGCTGAATTACTTTTGCTCCTGTGCAGTTTTTTCATTACAGTCATCAGAAATGTGCAGAATTTGTGAATAATGCTGATCAACCATGATTCTGATGGAAACCAGATGCATGATAAATGCCATTTTGGCAGGTCTAGTGTGGTCCAGTTGCATAAAAACGATGAAAAACAAACTTTATTGATGTTTCACAAATCAGAGAAAGATTTCCCAAAGCTCAATCTTAGTTTTAAACATTCCACTATTGTAGAATAATCTAGTCCTGGTTTGAAGAGTCCAGGTGTTGTGGTTTTTGAGCTAGACCAGGTTAAACACGTGCGAGGTTGTGAAAAATGAGTTGTAATATCCCTTTAGTCATTTCCTGAATCTGAAGCTAACTTAGGTGTTTTTCCTCAAAGTCAGTGTTTTTTTGTTGCTACTGCTCAAAAAAGTGCTTCAAAATTAGTTTTATGATTATATTTCAGACAGTTAATTCAAATGATACATTAATAAGGCTTTTATTCATTATATTTTGACAAAATGTAATTTATGTTAACATTTTAGTCAAAACACTTTTTCTCCTGATACAACTTCTGGACTTAATCCTGGTTTCGATGTGACGGCTCACATTTAATCAGGATTTTCCAGTATTGTTCATCAGTCCATGCAGATGAAGGGGGTCTCGGAGGTCTCTGAAGCTGAATTAGTATCTAATGGTGTCAGATGGGGGGTTGTGTCTCCTGTCCTCTTTAATCTGTATCTGATGATTTGTATATTGAATTAAGTGAATATAAAACTGGGTGTACGGTGGGTAACCAGCTTATAAATCAGTTAATCTACGCAGATGATGTGGTCCTTTATAGTGCTGCCTGCAGCAGCTGGATAACTGGACACAGGGTCCAGTTTGACTTTGTGTTTAATCCTAAAAACAGTGTTAAGGTTAGTACAACAAAGGAGCATCAGAAGATGAATTCCCCTTTTTTTATTTAGCGAATCAAGTTTTGGATGTTGTGGTTAAAGTGAGATATCTGGGTCACATTTTGAGGAGTGATCTTTGTGATGATGTCAGTGACAGTGTTGTAAAGTTGTACATGCAGGCTAATTTAACGTGTGTACTGATGAGGTTAAAGTGTGTTTTTAAGCTTATTGTACTTCCTTATATACTGCTCATGTGTGGAGTAACTAGAGTAAAACAGTGATGAGGAAACTGTAAACAGCCTATCAGGACGCTGTAAGAATCCTGACACTTCCAGGATGGAGTCGAATGTTTGTGATGAACAACGTCACAACTTTTCATGCTTTGTTGAGGAACTACGTGTGTCGTTTGGATACGTAAAACAACTTAACAATAAAAGCTTTGTCTAATGCATCATGTAGCGACACAACATATCAAGGTTTTTATAAACATTGGAAAAGCTAAAATCAAAAATCAGTAGGTCCTCTGGATGGTTCTTCTTTAGTGAAACGTTTCGTCTCTCCTCCAAGAGACTTCTTCAGTCTGATGAGTTTCAGGTGAAACTCAGCCTTATAAGCTCCGCCTCCACATGGACAAACAGGTTAGTCACATGTAAAAGAGGGCCATCGAATAACAATAGACTTGATTAGCTCTGTTGTTCATAGAGGGTCATGTGACCATCACCTGACCCATGTCGTGTTATGTGAATGTAGTTAATGCAAGCGGGGCTCAAAGTCCTCTTGTTTTTGTCCTTCTCTCCCTCTTAGTGTTGGTATCATTGGGGCCCTGATTCACACCTTTTGCTCACAGGGGGCGGAGTCATACCTGCAATAACAGCGTTGTAGGAGGAGGACAACTGGACATGAAGGCCTCCACCTCTGTTCACAAAGATGGCTTCAAAGGAAGCCATCTTTGTGAAC